TTCTATTGTGGTGGTTGTCACTTTACTATTTCTTACTGCTACTATAAAAAACTAAATTTTCCTTTGGGGATCAATAAAGTATTTCTCTTCTATTACGGTGTATATATTTCCAACAGTTTACATGCCATGTAAGTTAAAAACGTCATTTTTTACGACCTTCTTTTTGAAACTCAAAGCCACAACAGCATGTGACAATACAGAACATCGTAAGAAAAAATTAAAATGAAAAATAAACAAACAAACGAACAAAAAAACAGCGTAGTAACAGTGTAAATGCCGCAATTTTCTTTTCTTTTCTTTTTTTTTTCCTAAACCCTAACCCTAAAAAAAAAAAAAAACTACTGAGGGCATGCGCACTACTGCCCTGGCGGCGTGGTCACTTCGTTGTCCGGTTGACGAAACTGACGTCAGTCGGACCCGAGCGGACCCGGACGGACCCGAAGGCACTCGCAGACATAGAACGTATACGACCCCTGACCTCCCACGGTTTTAAGTTTGACCGATATTAAACAACGCGCCTGTTAACTATCAGCACTTCTGTAATCTACTTTACGGTTATTTTCTCTTAACGTGTTCCCCGTTTCTTCGGTCTTGGCGGCGGGCGGCGGTACAGGGGGCGTGCCGTGACCCCATCGGTGGGTGATGTAAACCGCTATGCTAGTAAACACCATTCCGCCAAGATGGCCCCTCTGTCCGTGTTCCGAGTGGCTCTCCTGGTCTCGTTTTCTGTGTTTCTGACCGTTGTGCTGGGCTTCGGGCTGCCTGCGCTGCTGAACGCGGTCATGAGGATGTTGGGTTTACCGGAGACCAGCGTCACCGAGTGCATAGTTGTGCTCTATGTGGGGTTTGTGCTGTACGTTGCGACGCCTCGGATTCCCAGAGGAGCGGTTGAGGTATGTTACAGTCAGGAGTGTTATGTTCAACACGGAAATGAAGGGTTCGCTTGTGTAGGAGCTTATGGGACATTCATCAGGGATACTAATATAACGGCAACGCTCAGATATGCTACAAAGATCAATGCAATGCTCCTCCTAACTCAGAAAATTCATATTAGACAGTGTGTTGAATGAGGCGTTTCTTGAATATAAGCCTTCCAAGTGTGGCTGTAAATAGTTAAATGGTGCTATTTTGTGTTAATAACTTGACTGATGTCCTATTTTATGATATATATTTTATGATACATAGGCTAGACTATGTTGCCATCCCTGACTTTTTAATCTACAGTATGCAAGCCTTTCAATATGTTCTTGTTTTTAATGTAACTGAGGTGTTTCTTGTTTAAAGTAACCAAGTCTTTGTTTCCCTGTGTGTAGGTTAAAGGCAAAGCTGTGTTCATTACAGGCTGCGACAGTGGCTTCGGCAACGCACTCGCCAAACATCTGCACAAGCTCGGCTTCACTGTCTTCGCTGGCTGTTTTCTTAGGGTGAGGATAAAATACAGTTCATCTGTGAATCTGTGGCATTGTGACAGGCATGCATGTTTCCTGAAATCACGAAAAGCAAACAAGCAGAACTTTTGGAAAAATGTCAAAATCCTGCAGAGATTAGTCTTCTTTACAGTAAACAGGCTCTCCCTTCCAAAAGCAATGCAATCCAACACATCAGACGTGCAAATTCCACCTACTGGAAAGCAAAAATAGCTGCTCGCTCATCACCACTGTCAGCCTAGAGGCTCTATAAGTATTCTGTATTCTGCACTGATCTCCTCGATTTTTGATTCCAAATGTGTGACTGACACATTTCCAATAAGACATTCAAACAAGTGCAGCCTCAATAATAAATCAATCACCGCCAGCTTTCTCAGCTCACCTCGACTTCTCACCTTCCATGGAATAGAATAAACTGCAAAATTCATTATCAATGCATATTTCATAGCTTTGAGATGAAATTAGGGCGTCTTATATTCATGTCATGAGTTAGTGTCACCTTTGCAGGATGAAGGTGGAGAGGGTGCAAAGGAGCTTGAGGAGTTTCATTCGGATCGCATGAAGGTCGTCCAGCTGGACGTCTGCAATGAAGAGCAGGTGAACAAAGCCGTGGAGTTTATCAAAGACAACCTGGAGGACTCAGAAAGAGGTAAGTGACCACAGTAACTATAATGTACACAGATTGTGCTCTTTCTGACCTTCTGTCCATGACTCAGGTCTGTGGGCTGTGGTGAACAACGCCGGCGTCTCAACGTTTGGAGAGGTAGAATTCACCTCCATGGCCACCTACAAGCAGGTGTCAGAGGTCAACCTGTGGGGCACCATCCGGGTCACCAAAGCTGTTCTGCCGTTAATCCGCAGGGCGAAAGGTGAGCCACTGGAAAATCACACTGTACATTAGATAGCATCAATCTGTGACATATAAACACAGCTCAGTTACATAATGTCCAAAATGACAGCGCCAAAGTGCAAAAAATCTGAGAGGGATCAGCTCCATGGATTCCACAAGGTTGAATTTTGTTCAAGTTTCTTTGTGGAGGATTATAAGCATTGTTAGAATTCCGTACTGAAAGGAAACAGTGCAGCTGAACAGTAAGTTGCGTCCCATGATTCCTGTAAAGAATGCTGACAATGCAAACACAGCCAGACATCGGAAGAAAAGGCTTTCCTCATAATGTGAAGTTAAACTTTTGATATTATAATAGGAACATTTGTAGGGAAGACATCTTAACATGGCTGCAAGTAAACAAGAAGCATGAGAGAGAGTAAGAAAAATAAGTTAAATGTATAAAAGGGTAAAATGGTAAATACAAAGACATACATTTTACAGTAATGATGGATTAAAAAAAGTTGTTTTTTATGTGACATTTAAAATAAAACACAATACCAGTGGTTTGACCTTGAAATGGTAATCCATCTAACAGATCAGGTGCAATAAAAAAATAATAGATGATGTTTTAAGTGGAGCAATAAGCAAATAGACAACTTGATCACTTGCGAGGTAAAATGTGCCAGTGTGACAGTATTTCTTAGGAAACAAGCTGGCCAGACAGCAGCCAGCTGGACAGCAGTGTGGCGCAACAAATAAAATGATTTACTCATCCAAGCGAAGGTTCAGGCCAGGCTTTTGTTAAGAATGTTAAAGACGGTTGAACTCTGACCCCGGAAGTTTTAAAACTGCACCAGAGGCCTTTCATTTGAATTCATTGCATTATTACAGATGGACATAGATTCACTGCAATTATTTTGTCTTAAACTATTTGTAACAGTTGTATAAAGACAGATACTCAAAAAGCATTTCTTGAACATGAGTATAAACTCATGACGGTATTTCTGGTGCCTTTGTGTCTCTTGACTGCAGGTCGTGTTGTAAACGTGGCCAGCATGTACGGGAGGATGGGCAACGCGATGCGCTCACCGTACTGCGTATCTAAATACGGCGTGGAAGCTTTTTCTGACTGCCTGCGCTACGAGATGAAGACCTGGGGAGTGAAAGTGTCCATAATCGAACCGGGGAACTTCATCGTAGCCACCGGCATCATGACCCGCGACGTCGTGGCCACCACGGCCAATAAGCTGTGGAGTGAGGCGCCTTCGGATGTGAAGGAGGATTACGGGAAGAGCCACTTCGAGCAGCACATGGCTCTGATGCGCTCTTACTGCAGCAGCGGACAGAAGGACATGGCCCCTGTTCTGGACGACATCACCGACGCCGTCACGTCCAAGCGTCCGTACACGAGATACAACCCCATGGAGCCGCACTGGTGGATCAGGGTGCAGGTGATGACCCATCTGCCAGGCGCCTTGTCCGACTTGCTCTACTTCTAAAAGAGAAGTCGCTCCTGCTCCAGCTCCGTCTGTCTCACCATCAGATCAGATAGCAGTAAATTCTTCAACTCTGTAGCGATACATTGATGTACTGACTCACCCTGAAGAGGGCTCTCTGCTACGTATTCCTCAGCACTTGAAATCATTCACTGATCAAGCCTTAAAACTTAATGTGTTTTTTAAAAACTGTAAGTAAATTATTGCACTTTGCTTTTCATACGTCTGGCAAGAACCATAACTTTATCTATACAGATATATATTCTCTGATAAGTAGTAACTACTTTGTGTTCGATATAAGCGGGGTTATGATGTGCTCATATCTATGAATACTCCCATTGTCTTTTTAAAAAGTTTCTCCTCTTCTATCTTTTTTATATTTGTAACGTTTCGCCTTTGTGGAATCTTCTGGGGCCTGCTTGGTGTGAGGCTGGTTCTTGCTGTTCTGTTGTGGCCGACGCCGGAACAAACCAAGGTCAGCTACTGTAAGACCATGGTGAGATTTGGCTCGACTCGCCTCGCAGTTACATAACAACAACACAAGCCCACTTTGTGAGATCCTGCGTGCAGCTTTGACTCTGATGATGTGATTAATGGGCATGCTCGAACAAAAATGTTGTCCCTCCCTCCCTGCCTCCCTCTTCCCTCCCCGTCTTCACTTGGCACAATATTTTGTATATAGAATGATGCAAATGAATAGAGCATTTTATTTTAAAATATTACAATCACAGTATCATTTTTCAAGAATGATTTGAAATAAAGTGACCAAAATATGACTTGTGTTTCGTTGAAGGTGTCATTCGAGATCGGCCCGGGTGGTGTAGTTTTACAAACGGCCGCCAGGTGGCACACATGCATCGCACAAAAACTACCACAGCTATCCTCATGCATCAGTTGTGCAGCCCTCAGACAAATTTAACATCACAATTGAAGCTGTATTATGACATTACAGCAAAGCTAAAGCACAGAAGAAAAAAAACAGTTTTTTTATGACTTGAAGACAATATTTTGTAATTCGGTAAAATACTGCTTTAAGGAAGAAAAAAAAAACGACTAAGCGGAAGTACCAATGTTTTCAAAATTTGAGATAGAAACAACAGACGTTATCCTTTTTATGCCGTTTATTACGTCTTTTGAACACTCTAATAAACTCTTCTAAATTATTACACCTGAAGACGATCATCTCCCCTCCATAAAAACAGTATTAAGAGCATGACATTAAATTTTCACAGCACTGCCTTGTTGTTTTTTTTTTTTTTAATCATTCCACAGCATGAATCTGTTTTCTTCACTCTCTCATACAGAAAAAAGCTTCGTGAGACAAAGAACACCATAGAAATGTAAGCAGCACAAAAGCACCAAAGTCAAAAACACGGGCCACTTGATCGGAACATTATCAACGAAATCTGAACGCAAAGATTCAAAAGAGTATCTCAGGCTTTGTGTAGCAGTCGAGAAACCTGGTTTCCACTGCGGCGCAGTTCTTGATCACTGAAGAGTAGTTTGATAGGCAATCTCTTGATAATATCTGTCACAACTGACTTCCGTGTCTTTTTTTTATGCAGATTGAAAACCATTTCTGTACAAGCTACAAGGCTCTGCTCATGCGGCCTCCGTTGTTGTAGAATGAAAAAAGATCCCAGTAACAATATCTATGCAGGGAGATACTGTAGTTCTGTATTTGAATATCAAGTAAAACATTTAAGTATTGAGGATTTTTTTTTTCTTTTTACATATTTAAGTGGCTAAACTGCAAAAGTGAATGTCTTACACTAGTTTTACATACAGACATAAAAAACTATATCCTCAGAAACCATGACAGTTTCCTTCACAACCAACAATATGTGATACCGTTACTTGAGGTGCCCATAACATGAGATTCAGGTCATGATTACATCACACCTGGGGTTATGTTTCTGAATGAACATCAGCACATATCTTTATACTGTACATGTAGGCATTCACTGTTCACTTAAGAAGTTATACTTGATGAAATCTGCTATGGTAAGGTCACTTGAAACTACACACAATATCAACTAACGGGCATTTTATGCATGACGGAGAGAAAGAAAAAAAAAAGAAAAGAATGAAATTGCCAGCCTACATCAAAGTGAGTGCTTAATGAGGAAATGCGTATCCCTATACGGATGTTTTCAGACACCCCGACACGTCGCTCACTAATCACTCAACTGACGCACATGCAAAGCTTTAACCAAATAGCGGTGACAAGAGAAGTGGGAAGCACGGGGACAGAAAAAGGGAAAACAGGACACTAAACCTTTGGTTGACAAAAAGCTGTGAAGGCACATTAAAATCTCCTCCTAAATCCTTCAAACTGGGGCACATGGCGTTGGCGTTTGTCACTTTAATGCTGCGTAATATCGCAGATGCTGTAGAACTGGAAGTCAGGGAGGAAATTTTGCCAAAAAAAGAAGGAAAAAAAAAAAAAAAGGGGGTTGCTGATCACAGCTGATTACAAATGTAAGCAAACATTATCACATAAAGTGTCAGCAAAAATGGCAACAATGCAACATCCAGGGATTTGGGTGTAATAAATGACAGGATTCTTTCAACCCAAACGCTAATCTGGTGAATGAAAATGAAGGGAATACAGGCACTAGAACATCCGATGCAACTTGAAATGATGGCAAAATTAAAATCATTCTTTTTAGAGATTTGGAACCCACATTCAACAAAACATAAAAATCACTCAAGCCATGCCGACAAACAATCTTGCAATTTACTCCTTCGACCGTGTGTTTGTGTTAAATATTCCTGTCAGATGCTTTTTTAAATGCTGGAATGTTGTTTTTGTACTGCTTAATAAGACGCAATCTTACTGAAATCAGATTTCAACTGGTACTGGTAGGGTAAAATTAGCACTTGCCCTTTGAACCCATCGTAAATCCAACTGAAAGGTAATCGTTTCAATGTTGGCGAATCGCATTTTACAGCCGCAAAACAGAGAAAACACAGTCTTCACACACACAGCTCGTGCGTGAATAGGTGTCAATCACGTGGGGAATGGAGGGGAAGAAGGTTCACACCCATGTTTGTGCTTGTTCTTTTTTTTTTTGTTTTGTTCATGCTTGGATTAGCTAGACCTTAAAAGTCCTTCTGAAAATCACTCCCATGTAAAATCCTTTTTCTTATTCTCTGCTATGATACATCAGCGTTGGCCTCCGTTCACGTCCCTGCTCTTATATGACCGGGCGTGGTTTTCCAGATACTCTTATCCAGTGGAACAGATTCTCCAAAGTCTCCTCCCTAGTTCCTAATTTACTGCTTTTATTTCCTAATGTCCATTTTCCCCCTTCCCTCCTCTGTGAAATCCCCTCTTCCTCTCTCTCTTTCTCTCTCTCTCCCTCTCTTTTTCTGTGCTCGGGTCCAACTGGCCACAGCTGGAGAACTCATCATCGCAGGCATCGCGATCATCATCATCTCCCTGAGCCCGCTGCCGGAGCGGCTCCCTGCCAACGCTGCTGCAGCTCTGATTGCAAGCAATAGCAGCTAGCTGCCCTTCACCATTCAAACACTGCTTGGTCCACTTTCACTCAACAAATAGCCTTTCACTAGAGACCGTTACTGTGAATATAAACCATGTGTGCGGCTGAAAACATTTAGTAGATGCGCCGTTTTCTAACTTGACATTGACCAAACTGAGACTTAATAGGCATTCAAACTCACTCCTGGGTGTATTAGTCGTGGTAACAAAAGCACAAATATCAAACAGAACGCTCATTTAGACCGGGTTCTTTCTTCTGTATTCGCCATAAGGAATTGTTTTCAGAAAATCCCCCGTGTCTGCTTAAGGAAGAGGGCGTCTCCCAGCATGATGTATAGGCTTTGCAACCACACAAACACGACCCCTGCATGACCCCTTAACTCCTCCATTCCCCTCCAGTGATCACTAACTCAGGAGCGGTGACATCATCCCGAGGACTGGCCCTCCATTTCCCCTCCGAGCTCAACGGAGCTGTTTGTTTGGAAGCTGTTGTCAGCGTGCATCCCCCTCACCCCTACCTCGCCGCCCTCCATCCTGAGAATCGTCCCCTTTGGCAACATTGGGAAGACGCATCGGCAAAGTTTCAAGACGAGGAGGGAGGGGGGAGAAAAAATACTTTTTGACTCCTTTGCATGCACAAATAAACTCTCCCCCATGTGGACAGTCGGTCCCCTCATTTGGGAGATACAAGGAAGGCGTTAGGACACTATTCGGTTTGCGTGCATCCATGCAAAGTCATGGGATCGAGAGCCCCCCACTGTCTGTGATGCCTCGGCTTTGTAACATTCACATGATGTGGATACAGCAATATGTGAGACAAGCAGTTCTGTTGTACAAAAAGCAAGATGAGTTTGACTTTGCACGAGAAGAGGAACCCTCCAGATCCTCGAAAAAAACAAACAGATGCACAGTGTGATATTCCAATCTCTACAACATCGATCCTAACAGAACTGTATCAATAAATATATTTTGGTCACTTAATTTTTATTCATGATTAGCAGAAGTTGTGGATTAGTGTGTCCACAACCACGAAAGAAAGCGTTAAGACGGACAACACACACACAAAAAAAAGTGAAATGTAGATCTCTAGGCTCTGAATTTGCTAACATCTGAAAAACAAAAATGCCTCAGTTGGGTGGTTGTGGTGTATTGTATACATTTAAAAAAAAAAAAATCACATTTTTAAAAGAAACTGTTAAAAAGATTATATATTATCAACAAAAAAAAAAAAAAAAAGAAAACTAAATGCAACTCTAATAGATATCAAGGTGGAAATACATGGCATTGCCTATAACCTAACACATCTGGATAATTTAAAATAGGCGACCAAGAAGTCTGTAGTCAACTCTCAGGAGTCCATAGTCTTTTTTTTTTTTGTCTCCCCCCACCACGTCTCTCCCATGCTTTTTCCATACCTCCTCTTGGAATGCTCACAAATCGGGCATTTAAGTCCTGATGATGTGTTAAGTCTTCAGGCTTGGAGCTGAAATGTTAGTGTGTGTTCTGGTGTAAGTATCTGTATTATATATGGATGCTGTTAACAATGTGTAAGGTGTGTGTGTGTGTGTGTGTCTCAGGGTGTGAGTGTGTGTGAGAGATGGATCAGGAGGCAGCCAGGGCCTTGATCAGGTACAGTTTGTCTCCCTGCTCACTGGTGAAGATGGGGGCCTTTTTGTAGTGTTCAACAAGCTCTTCCATAGAGTTGAACTTGCGCTGTCCGATGCAGTAAAGGTTTTCCTTCAGCTGCACTTTGAAATGCTTGTTCTTGCTCTGCGCCTTCAGGGAGATGGAGAAGTCGTTTGGCTGAAAAGGAAACAGAAAACTAGGGTTACTGACAGGGTTTCAAAGTAACTACAGAGGACAGACGACACATAAATGGTGGTTTGAGGAGCAGGTTTTGGCTACTGACTGATGACTCGCTGTCTCGGATGAGGAAGTCTCCCTCCGTGCCTCTCTGATTGAGGGCCACCTCTGCCTGGTGGCGCGTCACCTTCCCATAGTACCACTCTTTCCCCGCAAAACGCCCGCTGCCTGAGGGCGAGATGTAGTCACAGTCAGGTGTGGGCGGCCCAGCAGGCCCTGCTGTGGGTTTATGGGAGGTGGAGTCCAGCACAGTGACGTAGTTCTTAGGCACCAAGCCCAGCTGTCCGTCCGCTTTGCGGCACTTCCACCACTCCGGGTCGTTCTCGGGCTTCTCCACCACCTCCATTACCTCGCCCTTCTCAAAGTTTAGTTCCTCGTCGTTGCCTGAGCTGAAAGGGTAGAGCGCCTGGACCGTGTGCAGCACTCGGTTTCCGTTCGTAGTGCTGTTCACCACCGCGGCCAGCTTCTCCGTTAGCGATCCGGCCGGGTCACCAAGCCCGCCCATGCCCCCTCCCCCCGCCGTCCCGTCCACGTCCTCCGTCACGTAGTTGGACGGGAACCAGCCGGAGCGTCCGTTGTAGCTGCCGCGCCACCAGCCGTCACTGCATTTCTCCATCACCACCACCCGCGTGCCTTTCACCAGCGACAGCTCGTCCTCGCGCTCTGCTGTGTAGCTGAACTTGACCAGGGCAGGCAGGTTGAGGTCATAGAGCCTCTCCCCGTTATCTGCATACATATCTGTGTCGGCGTTGGAGGCTGTGTCTCTCATCCCTCCCTTTCTGCTCTTCACCTTCCCAATTCCTGGAAAAATATAAAACATAATCAAGGAAAGGTGTTAAGAAATGCAGAGAGATCATGACTGTCACATGCGCCAAAGTGGAGTCCAGGAGACTGACATCATTGAAACAGCGGGCACAAACTCCTTTTAGTGCAAATTAAAGCTTAGAAGTTTACTAAAACATGAGTCCCCTTTTTCACTGATGCGGAACAAGTCTCAACAGACGAACAAAAACCACACACACCATTATAAAACACCTCTGAAAAATTTAAGGGAGGAAAAAGAAAAAAAAAAAAATCCCAGACAAATACCAGGGAGTAATAATAAGCATTATGGGCTGTTCTGAAATACAGCGAGGGTGGGTAAGCAGGGCTAAATATCATTCCTTTTCCACATTACAGTGCCCTAACTCCCCCCACACACACACGCACTCCAAATCCAAATACATTCTTGGGGATTAAGCCTAGGTGCTGAGGAAACAAAAAGCAATGCTGGCACGGTGAAAAAAAAGCGTGAGTGGGATGAAAACTTGTTTTGGCATGGGCCTATAAATCCTGGGGAAACTTAAAAAGTCCTTCAAGTGCTGCTACCCAACATTGAAATAAGCAGCCAACTGCGTTTGTCTTGAACTGTGGAGGCCAAGGTGTTTTGTCGCATTTCATTGTTGCTGTTCACGCTGCGCTAATCACCTCAGCTGCTCCGACACCTGCAGCCTTGCTTGCTCTGCAGCTTTATACCGAACTCCATCGCATTTCTGTCAACGCTCTTCGTGGTGCTCAATCCTCCTCCTTAGCGTGCACAAGCCCTCCACTCCCCGTTCCCTCCCAGCCCAATCACTTTCCAAGCACCCCACTGAGCTCACCCCTTGACATCACTGTAATGTGGGGATGATTAAGAGCATATTTATCAGGACTTTATCAACTGTGGGTTACCAGAAAAGCTTTGCCATTCTGTTAGCTGGCAACATGGCAGCCACACACACACACACACACACACACACACACTTCCATGAGTGACCACCAGCAAAAGGGTGGATTTTAGCATTCCACCAGCAGACGTCTTGCTGTTGAACAACCCAGTGGCTAACAGCAGAAGGATTACCATGCCCTTGAGCCTTTTCCTGGGTTGTAAAGCCCCGAGGCCAAACTCTGGAAGGCCTGTGGTCATCGTCTTGCTGGGCAAGAATTTCCACTTGGCAGCCCGACATGCTCACAGTTGTATGAAACACATGCGTAGGTAGCAGTGGACGCAGTGTCGAGATCACGCCTTCTTCCGACTTTCTAAGAGCAAAAAGCAGCTAATACCACTTCTCGCAAAGCTACTATGACACTCCTGTAATCATCACGAGTCAACTGATGATGCAGGCCAGACTGAAGCTAAGACTAACCAGACGCTGATACCAGACACAGCGAGCAGACTGCAGTAAAGACCCGATTTCTGATTACGTTTGCAAAGTGATCGCTTGCATAATCAGAAGACAGCTGGGTGAAATTATACAGTAGAGCAGGGTGTAGTCTGCAGGACGGAGCGGTGACTGTGACTAATGTGTCACAACACCGTACTGAATATGCTTCACCACAGATAAATTGTAACTGAAAGGTGTCTCTGACTCAAGGAGTGCAGACAAATTTCACGGTAGCGCTGAGAGTCCAACGTCAAATTGCTTCCAGGTAGACCCTGTTATTAGTCACACCACTGTACATAACTACAGACTCCAGACAGGGTGTTAAGAGCTGATGTCTGTAGGTGGAGGTTAGGTATTGCACAGATGCTAGTTATGCATCTGTGCAGGCTTCATAACTCCAAGAAAGAGCTGCAAAATAGACAACACGCAGACTTCAAGAAAATATGGAGAAGATTGAGAGTGGTATTTTTTCCTCATAAAAGCACGACACTCACAAAACCTTGATCCACAAGATCTGAAATACAACACATGAATTCTGGGAAGAAAAAAAAAAATAGTGATCGTGCAGGTGCAAGCTCCAGGATGTGTCTTTGCACAGTTGGAAATGACCTAGTTAGCTCCAATCAAAGGTTAGGAGTCAACTCAGTATAAATAAAGTATCTCTTAGCTCCAGCTGAGAACAGACACAACTGAGAGTTTATATTTTATCTCTGTGGCCAGGTAACACAAGCCTTATCAGTGTCCCCGTCAGAGGTTTTTTTTCTCTCTCTCTTATTTACTGCTTCCTGCTACAGTCACATGAACTTTGCATTAAAAAAGCACAGCCATTACATTTGACTAGATGTTCAATCTGTACTAGGGCAATAACAGGAGGGTGGGATTTGCCTGTAGGTGGATGATACTAGCAGAAGATAAGGGGTTGTTATTGAGGGCATCTGCTTCTCTAAGGGCCCCATCTGTCCTGCCGTTGTAGGTTAATTATAAGAATTCACATGTGTGCCTGTGTAGGAGAACTGGGAGTTTGTGTTTCCTTTTACAGGTTAGCAGAGGCTCTTATCTTTTAACAGCACAGAATGGTAAAGCTTAGAGTAACGCCAAGCTGAACTCTAAGTGGTGTGTGTATACGCCGCAGAGATTCATGCTGCAAACGTAAAAACAGACCAGTTATATATATATTTTTTTTTTTTTTTTTAAACAAGATGTGCACTGCCCTTTTGCTCAGAAATGTGTCATGAATGTTTTAAACGCAACTACCAGTAAACAGGGAATGCCAGTATCAGCTAACAGTTGGCTCCTTACAGACTCTAGTGTAGTCTGTTTTTAAATCAGAAATTAGAATATGAATAACATCAGGCACAACTAAAGCACATTTTCTACCTTTGGAGGATACTCTAATCATAATCTGGTTTACTCAGACATACCAGAAATGCATTTCAAAATCAAACTTTCATCAACATTTACAGGATCTGTACAAACTCAAAACACACAACATAAATAATAAAAACACTACTCATGGCTCCAGACTAACTTTTTCACTGGTCTCTGTTGCACCTCCCACCTGGCCACAGGCAAAACACATGACTTGCTGAACATTTTCTAATGGATAGACACTACAATTTACCGATGCTCCCTAAACGCCCCACATTGCAGGCTGCGGTAGACGCTGCTGGGTATCTGTGGTGTGACCAGACAGGTGTGCGACCAAACATGACTTTAAAAATCATAAGCTAGGGCGTTCTCATGTCAGATTTGTCCAAGATGAAACCGCCTTACATTTATTCTTTTGTAGTCTTTTCTGTGAGCAGAAAAACAGCGATTGCATTTGAGAACTACTTTTTATTTGGGAATTCGCCCCGTATTGACCAGCCGCCACTGATGTCAACATTACAAGTTTCACAGCACTGTACAAGGCCTAAAAACTGAGGACACAACAATCACAAAATAAAAGCTCACAGCCTTGTATGGCCACAACCCAATGCCATGTGTGCTGCCAATGAAACCAGAAAAAAAATAAAAATTACATTCTCATCAGTCCGCATATGTTACAGATTCACTGCCAAAGCGTAAGGTCCCTGTGTTCAAGAGGTGGACACGGCTGCATTCTGCTCAACTAACAGTAACTGATTTTGGACAGCATTTCCATGATGTTCTGCCAGGTTTGTGCATTCAATGGACCTCTGGGCACAATCACTGGGCCTTTAAATACGCTGAGTCGACTAATCGTGCTAACAGGAGTGTGTAGCGGCAACACAACAAGTGAGTGCAGGTATTTTCTAACCTGCAGACATTCCAGATGACCTTCACATTTAGATATTTTTAAAAGCTAGAATAACTTTGTGCATTTTAGATGAAGCAATGTTAGCATACTACTTCAAACAGAACCCACATCTGCTGTGATAAAGTAAAGACTTTGTAGAGTTACACACGTGGACAAAATTGTTAGTACGACTCGGTAAATGAAAGAAAAACCCACAACGGTCACAGAAATAACTTGAATCTGACTAAAGTAATAATAAATAAAAATTCTATAAAAATCAGACATTGCTTTTGAACCGTGGTTCAACAGAATTAGTTAAAAAAATAAACTCATGAAACAGACCTGGACAAAAATGATGATTTTGTTGCACAACCTTTTGAGGTTATCACTGCAATCAAACCATTTCCGTAACTGTCAATGAGACTTCTGCACCTCTCACCAGGTATTGTGGCCCACTCCTCATGAGCAGACTGCTCCAGTTGTCTCAGGTTTGAAGGGTGCCTTCTCCAGACGCCATGTTTCAGCTCCTTCATTAGATCTTCAATAGGATTTAGATCAGGGCTCATGGAAGGCCACTTCAGAATAGTCCAATGTTTTCCTCTGAGCCATTCTTGGGTGTTTCTAGCTGTGTGTTTTAGGTCATTATCCTGTTGCAAGACCCATGACCTGCGACTGACACCAAGCTTTCTGACACTGGGCAGCACATTTCTCTCTAGAATACCTTGATAGTCTTGAGATTTCATTGTACCCTGCACAGATTCAAGACACCCTGGTTCCCATGAAGTCCACTTTGGCTCAAACATGGTGTGATCTGACACTGATGTACCTTGACCTTGGAGTTCACCTTTAATGTCTTTAGAGGTTGTTCTGGGCTCTTTTGTTACCATTCATATTATCCGTCTCTTCAATTTGTCATTAATTTTCCTTCTGCGGCCACATCCAGGGAGGTTGGCTACAGTCCCATGGATCTTAAATTTCTGAATAATTTGTGCAACTGTAGTCACAGGAACATCAAGCTGCTTGGAGATGGTTTTATAGCCTTTACCTTTAACATGCTTGTCTATCATGTTGTTTCTAATCTCCTGAGACAACTCTCTCCTTCACTTCCTCTGGTCCATGTTTACACCATGTCACCAAACAGCAAAGTGACTACTTGTTACCCTATAAATAGGCCGACTGACTGACTACAAGTTTGTAGACACCTGTGATGCTAATTAGAGGACACACCTTGATTGAACATGTCCCTATACTCACATTATTTTCAGTCTTTTCTAGGGGTACCATCATTTTTGTCCAGCCCTGTTGCATGAGTTTATTTTGTAAAATAATTCTGTTGAACCACGGTTCAAAAGTAATGTCTGATTTTTATTGGTTAACTTTCATTCAATTTTTATTTATTATTACTTTTGTCAGATTCAAGGTATGTCTCTGACCGTTGTGGATTTTTCTTTCATTAACCGAGTCGTACCAACAATTTTGTCCACGTGTGTAAAACAGCAGATAAAAAGTAGAAAACTAAAAATAAACTCTGTTCTACCCACAACAACAGCTCCCCCAACTCCCCCCTAAGTTCACCCACAATTCTGCCAAATTGTGAATTTTGTAGGTGTGTGGCATTTTCAGCTTCCCCTGAAACCCACAAACCACCTTACTGCTCTGCCGCTACCTGGTAAAAGCTTACAACAGGACTTATTAAGTACCGTAGGTTGGAAATTTTTCTCTCTTTCAACGTCACATGCTTTTTCCTGCGCATTTCCTGAAAGGAGGACGCACAGGAAGGAAATCATATTGCATCAGAAGCCACTAAATCAACGAAAACAATGACAAAGACCGTAACACAAAGATGGTAAACCCCCTCTGGAAAAGTCAGTGTGTGTCTACAGATGAGGTGCAGCAGCAGGAGGAGAAGAAAGTGCCGGCGAGGTTGTCCGGCTACCAGTGACAGACAGGAACTAGTTTTGTTTTTTAACTCTGGCCTCCCTACGATGGCTGGCTGTCCATTGTCTGCTAGGGCCCTTTCGACCTCTTAGCTTCCCTCCATTCCAGGGCTCTTCCTCTGTGGACGACAACACCCCGCGTCAGGCTGTCTGACAGTGCCAGAACATCCCCCTTTGCTTTGACACACTTGCTTGTAGTCAGTTGAGTACAAAACAGCCTGACCACTGCTCTGTAAATTTTTATTTCTAGTAAGATTGCCTAAACTAATATGTAGCAACACTGATGTCATCTGGTAACAGAGTCCACGCGTTGATAGCAACTCTGGCAACAACGTGTCATCAGATAAGTAACACGAAACAGTCACCCCCCGCCATATGGTTTGGCGTGAGACATGTACAATGTAATGACAGCATGTGCGCTCAGAAACAGTGAGTCAAACAAACAAAAAAGGAATGCACACAAGACTGAGTTGGCGTGTTTTCAGTGGGGGATCGCAGGGACTGACTTTCAAGACTGCAGCTACAGTCGAGCTGCTAACATGGTTGACTGATAGCTGCGCAGGAAACGCGTAAAGTTCTTTCAACTTCAGTCGTCTGAGACATCAAAAGCAGCCAGTCATCGATCTCTGGAACAGAGTTCAAGGAGATGCAGAGCTTTCTTTTTTTTTTTGTTAAACAGCTGTGGACAGTCAAGTGTTACTGTCAAGAGCTACAACAAGGAGAACCCTTCCTGACAGCAGAGCAAACAGATGGTTGTATTAAACACAACAATTATTAACCTACTGGCTGTGATTTTGTGTACATTTACGTCACTGCAGCAACACTGACATGATTAGCTCATTCATTCTCTAACTACACCCACCACATTTCAAACCAACAACTTAAGTATTTTAGGGGAGTACTTTTTAAACTTTCTTTTTTTCTTTTTCTTCATTTGACCTACTTTCGCTTAACCTCTTCTCTGGTGACCCAAATTTTGATGTCATTTCATTACAGCACATTTATATGTAAATGGCTGGGATTCCCCTCATTCAATACAGTACATCAGCGCAATAACAAAAGATTGCCAAAAAGACTTCCTTCCTTGTTCATGATTGTGCTATTTGATTACAAGAAATATCAGACACATATGAAAAAATAAGTTATTTGTGGAGTTCTACTGGGAGATAATACTCACATTCATTATTCAAGTAAATTGAAAACTTATTTTATAAAATTCAATATCGAGTTTCAGGTACAGATACCAAAATAATACTTCACTTAGAAAAATATCAACACTGTTTTCAACCAAACGTTTCCTATCTAACAGAAGAACCCAAACTTATTCACCATAGTCTAAACACAAACCACTGTGTGTGAAATTCAGCTCAATAAAACAGTACATTTCACAAGCAGGAAGTAACCAATCATCAAATAAGTCATTAGATAATTGTCTGGTTTTGTTGTTACTTTATGATAGTAAACTGAATACTTTTGACTTTGACTCTGATAGAATGAAAGATTTTAAGACGACCTTTTTTTCTTGTACTCTTCAGACCCAACAGCTGATTTGTATATTCTTTGCTAATAAAAAGGGATCATCTGCAGCCCAACAGACCATTAAATTCAACAGCCAAGGGGAGCAGTAGATGTTTATGCTGCTCTCTACCAACATGTTTACAGTGCTGGCTACACTTCAACAAGCCCAGACCACTACTCACTTCCTTTAAGCAAATGCTTAAGAGAAGAAGACACAAGGAAACAAGGAACAGTACACATCTTAGGAGAAAAACATCTTAGGCCTAAGTGACGCCAACAACTCCCCCGCCAATCTCTTAATTATGATTATGTCTTTTGCTTTCGTGGTCAGAAAACAGCGAACGGCGCTCTGAAGAAAAGAAGCGGGAGTTGGAAATAAGGGAGTGAGGGACGTCGACTGCCAGAAAGTCCAACAGACAGACCCCGCACAATGATTCAACTTCCTTCTAACTTCTCACTTCCTCTTTGGCTTGCACTTCTCCAAAGCTCAGAGAGAAATGTGGCTCAAATTAGAGTTTCCGCTCGCTGGGGAGGCTGAGAAACAGGAAAACAGAGGGAGGGGAGAGAGCAAGAGAGAGAGAGAGAGAGGAGACTAACAGCTCTCAGTTTACACAAGCAAAACGTTTGTTAGCTCATCTCTATGTTCTTCTCATCTCTTTACACTCTCTGGATACTTCAGGCGGCAAGCAGACCAGTCAGCAGACAACACACAGACACACATTCACAAGCAGGGAAGATAGACAGAGGCAGGAGATACCACTCAGCAGCTACAAGGTGAGATTACACCGAACGTGTGCACCGGGCCTTTTGAAAAAGAGTGTCGTGTGTGTGGCTGTAAAGTATCCACGACCCACGGAGCTGCCCGGGCACTGACATTCCTCTGATAACCGAGCGAGGTGCAGGAGATGGGAGCCCGGGTCCCATCAATCAGCAAAGACCCCTTCCTCCTCTTAACACAATGACTACAGTGTTCTACATGAGCACCCCGCGTCCCTTCAACTGTAGCTCTTGACTGGCGGTGGGGTGGAGTGGTGGGGGTGACCCTCCCAGAACGAGTGAGCTCGCCCTGAGGGTAGCATAAAAGAAAACAGACACTGGCTATGTCTTGAGATATTCCTCAACAGGGTGGAGAGGGGTCTTCAAGCATGATAATGTAATCCACTAAGTTCAAGCCCACTCACTAAGACAAATAGGAGAAGGAAAATAGAGCAGAAATACTCTGTGTGTATGTGTGTGTGTGTATGTGTGTTTAAAAGAAAGAGACAGAGAAGGATTGCTGAGGCAATTACAGGCTTCAGCTCAGCAGAAGGCTTTTCAAAAGCATATCCACCCAGTCTTTGCAGCCGCTCACACAGACACAGCCTCAAAAGCTGTTAAGACACCCTCTCACCCCTCTCCCTGCCAGCAGAACATGTTAGCACAAAAATCAGTTTCCGCCTGCTCTAAATATGACACATTCATTTGGCTACCTTGAAGCTAAAAGTCACTTACAACCAAAGTGAGAAATCAGAAAGGGAAGATGAAAAAAAAAAACTGACAACCGCTCTTGCACAGTTAGAAAGAGGAAAGAAAAAAAAAAGAGAGAGCTGCTGAAACTTCAGACAAAAGATTTCTTAACTACTTGTAACACTCTAAGCAAATCAGAGCGACTTTACGGAACTACAGAAGACTAAGAAAGTTAAAAACTCACGAAAGAAGTGTTTGAATAGGTTAGCCATGTCCATTTTGGGCTCGCTGTCTCTCCCTCTCTGTCTTTTTCCCGGCCCCTGCTCTCTACCCACTGCAGCTGTAGAGTTATTCCATGTGAACACCCAGAGAGCTGGGCGGATAGCGGAGCAGGGCGGCCCACTCCTTGACCATGTGGTCGGGCTGAGCCAATGAGATCGCGGGACAGAGAGGCCTCCAGTCCAGCTCTGGAAGGCAGAGTATAGAGGCCTCATGGAGAGGGGAAGAAGGAGGGAGGAGGGGAAGGGGGGTTGTTGCAGCTCAGAGACAGAGAGAAAGAAAAGAAATGAAAGAAGAGCGATATCTGGAAAGTGAAGGAGCTATTTCCTCAACGTATAGCAACACAATGCTATTTGTGAGCGTGCTGTTTCCTTAAAGTATACAGGGAATCTATAGGGATCTGTGGGGACGCACCGGCGGCTGAGTGAGTCAGTGAGTGCTCAGTGTCACATGACTGCAGTTGTTTGTAGAGACACACTCATAACTTTACAACAAACCCAGGAAACATGAGTCCTCAAACACAGAAACGCACACACTCATGGAGCAAAACACAGCCAACTGCAGACGGATCATACACTCACACATTCTTTCAAATGATGACACCACTCCACACCCAGCAACAGGCCTGCTTAAGAAAGGAAAGAGATAGATTTTTCCTCCCACATAACATATGAAAGTGTGGACCTCAGGCTGCTTTTCTTATTGTCCTCCCACACATACACAAGAAAAACAGAACCAGTAAAAATGTCTTAAATCTACTCATAGGTCATACAATGGACAAATGAAGGTTAAGTATTTACAAGCTTTCTATGATTGTATTTGTGTTTGATGAGGATTTTTTTTTTTAATTTTTTTTTTTTTTAGTAATTCATGTTTTATATAAGTCTGTGTATTGTGTGTGAGTGAGACACGACTTGTGTGCCTCATTTGTGCAGCTGTTCACCTGAAACATTAGATCAATGGACATAGTGACAGGTGGGATGTTGTTGGGAGCCTCACGGCTGTGGTGCATGACAACACACCCTCCGACCCAACCGCACACACAAATACACGCTACGCATAGTGGATAAGCAAATAAACCGAGACACTTCAGGGCAAAACAGTCTGGACGGGCTGTAGGTGCAGCAGTTAAATGATAAATATGTTTGGATCAAGCCATAACAAAAAGGAAAGTCCTTGGTAATTAACGTCAGTTCAGCATGACTAAAAGCACAAAAAATGAGCTGTATATAAAAAACAAAAACAACTCAAGAAGCTCCTTCCTGTGCTTCTATCATTTGTCATTATAAGGGCAGTTGAGAACACGACTCTATCCGAATGTCACCAGACTCTTCTCAACACAACCGTGACACTTTGAGGGAAAAAAAAAAAACACAGCGCAGCTAACAGGAAGGCACAGTTCACATGTCCTCCAGATAAGTGTTTTGCAAACACTGCATGGTGTGATGTACTTATAAACGAGTGACACACTTCTGGTTAGAAGCACCCGGAACAGCCCCATTTTGTCTGCAGGGAAAAGCCGACTTGGGGCCCTGAGCTTCCTCGCAGAGATCACCCCACGCAGGAGCTCGTCATCACCACATCAATGAGCTAAGGACATAGGGCTGCATTCTTTTTTGTCACTCTCACATGTGTGGTTAGACGCTTTTGTTGCACAGTCCCATAAACTGCAGGTGGTGGCGTAGGCTTTGTAGTTTGACTTCTATAATAGTGTACAACCTAATGAGATCTGGGCCAAACAAAAATGCTCAAAGTATATCAACAGAAACTGCTGTGCCATCATCCTTCTAATTGAGACAACAATGCCCTGTGGTACGAACAGGTTGGAGATTAGCGTGTGAAAGCATCAGTAACGAAAGACAAAGCCTTCAATGAGGCATGTTATTAAAAAACACACACAAGATAAATTATTTAACTCTGAAATCATAGGCAAAATAAATACCAAACTATCTGGCTGTGTTCCAGACTGGATGCCAGTGGTCAGTGTGTGCATTGCAAATTATCATAAACATCTGTCATCAAGAAGAATTAAGCTAAGACAAATGGTAACCTTGGCTTACATACACAGTTACATTTGGCTTGCTGCTGGCAGTACAAGGCCCTTGGCAAATGGCAGTGCCCAGAAATATTACTGTGGTGCTGACAGAGGAGACAACACCTGTGCCATATCAATTCCAGTCATGATAAAAGGGCAGGGGCAAAAAAAATCTTTAGTTGCATTTACTCACACACACACACACACACAAACAGGTTTAGATTTGTTATCATAGAACAGACATTAAAAAAAAAAGATATTACCATCTTACCTTAGTTAATCCTTCAAGGTCCAATCGAAACATAAAACATTTCATCAGACACTCCAATCAAACACTAACGTTTCAGTTCAAGTGCACGGTGAGAACAAAGTTGAATGTCTGCATTTCAACCAATCACACATCAGCCTGGGATCCTCGTTCTGTGGTGGCACGCATACAAGACATTACAAACCACGGCAGTGTGGTCAAAAGCAAACTGAGCTAGATACAGGATGCTACGTGATGCTACTTTGTCTCGGCTAAAAACAAAAAAACAACAACTGTGTGTGACACACAAAGCAAGTCAATCTGCGGTCATAAAGAGGCTGTGAGGAACCAAAGATACGTACATAAATATTTAGAGTGCAAATATCTATGCAGCTTATCTAGACATTAGGAGATCCACTATAAAAATAAACAAGGTCGTGGGGAGAGTGCAAACTTTGACATGGTTTCGGGTCATTGCTTATTAATCCACATCATGTAGAATCGAACACCGACTTCTAAACTGAAGAAAGCATTAATGATTAGTTGTTTGTTTTTTACCAAGTGTGTCTTTGAGGTTCTTGACGATAGAAGCTTTCCTGGCACTGTTTTTCCTCTCCACGTAGTTGGAAGGCACAAAGCCCGTTTTGTTGGTGGCATTTCGAACCCTCCACCAGGACTTGGAGTCGTCGAGGAGCCAGAGGCGCTCATTTTTCTTGATGTCCAGCTCCTGGTCCTGCTGGGCCATGTAGTCAAACTTGGCGATGACAATCACCTCTTCCGTCATCTTGCACTAGATACACTGACAAAAGGAGAGAAGACATCAGAATGGCCAAAATGAATATCTTACATTACAGACAATTTCAACTAACTGACTAGCAAGAAGTCTTTTAACAAATAGTGTCATTGGGAGTGGTGTTGTCATGTGTGCAGCAATTGTAGTGATTTATTTGGAATTAAAGTTTTTCCACAGCATCCTTTATAACTGACAGTCTTGCCTAAGTATGGATCATAAATATCTGTTTCTTTTGTCTGCACAGACTTCATACACATCACACTCTATACACAGACTTCACAGATTCTGTGCTGTTTGCTCCAGGCTCAATGATCAGCTTGTAGACACGCCGAGAGTAAATTTAGAAACTGTTTGGAAATAGACAGTTGTACCTGTACTGCATCAAAGCCGAGAACTTCAAGGGCTCTGACACCTCTGCTGACCTGGAAAAAGAACAGAAATGATGCAACAGAGTTACACATCGACGCTTTTCCAAATTTCCTTCTAAATTTGCTCATAATACTTAGAGATGTGCATCTGCGTGCATCTGCTTCAGTGTCTGGATTTTTGCATATAGCACTGTCTTAGTACCATATTCAAGCCAAGACACGAACAATGTTATCCAAATATACTACGGCTAGACCAGAATCCTGAAGAAATGCTCGAAACTACTTCCACAGTTTAGTCTCTTCAGACATGATTTCCCTCCACCAATTGTATTTTTGAAATAACAGAAATAAATGACTATTCTTTTCAGTCTTCAACACTGAGGGCAGTGGAGTATTGAACTAATCTCTTCACATCTACATTCTTTATATATTTACACAGGGGATGCTTTCCTCCCAAGAGCAGTCCAGCAATTGTCTTTTGTGTCAAATGTCAACCTGGTAGCCAGGAGGATGGCAAAGCTCACTGTGACAAGGAAATAAAGACGAGGGGCACTGTGCGTCAGCAATGTGGCTACGTCAGGGAGTGAAGCTCTGGCTGTGCACTAATGATGTAGGATATTGTTTGAAAATTAGCAGTGGCCTATAAATATTCTTATGAGTGCAGCATATGCAAATGATGTGCTTCTGTGAACTGCTTTACAAGCATGGCTCCATTGTTTGCAATGCTGCATAGGTTCTCCAGGCTATCTAAAATTATGATTTAGGAGCACTGTGATACACTGTGAAAACTTGTTCATGTTCAACAATGAGCACATTCACAACAACTGGTCTTATGACCCATATAGCTATCAGCAAAGTCAAGCTATGCTTAGGTTAATACTGCAGAAACTTAGGTCAGCACTGAGGGAGTGAGGCACTATTGAAGCAACTGCTCTGATGTCATGGGAGTGGATGGAGTTTCACCTTTCCCCCTCGACCGACTTCAGGGACCAGACACTGACCTCATTGATAGAGAGCTCTTGGTTTTTATTTGAAGCGGCAGTGGTGTCTAGGTTTCAGCTACAGCTGGCCTTGAGATAGGACCAGAACCTGATCTTAGGCAAACACGAGCAGAGGCAGCCAAGCTAACTTTCAACATGATAAACCAGAAGGAGTAGAACAAACAACTTCGTACCAGTTTTTCCTGAAGAAAAAGCCACAATATTAATAATAATCATATCCTACAAAATCATAATCACATCCTACAAAAATGTACAGCTTTAAGATTTAATTTCACAGTTACTGTAACAGGGGGTGCTGGTGCCACATTTCAAGACTGCAATAAATTCACACCCTCAACATAAAAAGAAATATCCCAAACTGCTACTGTAATACGTGTACATCATCTCACACTCAGATTTTATGAGGAGGGGGGAACCTGTGGCCTGGGCTGTATTTCCCCATGAGGGGTGTTGTTGACTTAATTTACCAAGTAACATTTGGGTGTATACTGTGGTTTTATCTAATGGCATGTTATTGCCTGCTCCTTTTCCATCGTTAATTAAATTAATGAACATTGGGAGACATGTTAGGGAGCGGCACGCAAAAACAAAGAGCTGATTTACTTTCCTCGAGTGCCTCTTTCACCAAGACAAAGGCAACAATCTCTCCACTCCCTGGGCTGGGCTGGATAGCTGTCTGCCAAAGAGGCAGACAAGTGTGTATATGTGCTCCTTCTCCATTTACAATGTCCCTCCCTTACAATCGTTTCTCCACTTCACACTCTTCTCCGCTATTGCATGACAGGACCATCAGTGTGGGACTATCCCTTTCTCGGCTATCTCCCATTTTCAGAAAGCACACTGCATCCCAGTTGCTGCCATCACCCCCCACATCTAGGGTAGCCGAGCACTAAGTGCACATTAACACCGCAGTGACTTACGACGGTGCAGATGTGAGGGAGGATCAAAAAGTTAGGCGACAGACGCTCTGAGCTAATCGCGCAGCTGCAGACTGAGCCAAGGCCAGTCGCTGCTCCAAAGCACTAAATATGAGGTCAGAGAGGTCAAACTGCTCAAACGGTGTCACATTCACATCCACTGTGGGTCTTCATGTGCCCTTCTGCCAGGCAGAATTAACAGGTAGGCCCAATCCATCATCAATCTGCAGCACATTATGATACTATTTAAAGAATAGCAAAACTTCAGTTGTATTTATGCTACCCGCTGCTTTGCTTTTAAAAAATAATTTAAAATCCTTCTATTAAAATGCCCAAGAAATGTAAAAAATAAAACAAAACAAAAAAAATGCAGAGAAGTGACATATTTGCTTTTCACAGAAACTTCTCTGTTTAATTTGATAATG